AGCTAAATATTGTAATTATGGGCATCTGCAGCACGTAGCCTGAAAGGAAGATTGCATATGGGACCACAGGGAAGTTCTGTTCCCCCTCATTGAAAATCCCTTGATTTAGAATCACTCAAAACCTTGTTAATGTTGTAGTAATTTTCTTCTTAGAAGAAATATTTTGTCATACTTCTAGCAACATTAATTTTTTTTGTGCAGGGAGAGATGATACTTGAGTTGGGAATTTGAAATAAAGTCCCTGCAAAAAGCAATGAACACACGAATGGACATGAATCTAGTATTTGCATACAGGTGTAGTATTAAAAGAAAATAAGCTCACCACTCAGGAATTCCTGTCTTAGCCAAATTAACCAAGATCAGCAAAATAAATGCACAGCTGGAAATGCTTCTCTGACAGCTGCATGCAACATGCTCTTCAGCAACGTATCTACTTTTCTTAGAGTATGTGAAAAATCTAGGGAAGAGAAATCAGTTGTATACACCAGCTTTAATTGAACAGATATTATTTGCCAATTAAGGAATTTACAGAGAGCTGCAAGTGGGACTTGAACTGGATTTCCCAGCATCCCCAGGTGACTGTTCTGCCAGTTGGGAAGCTCTGCAAGCACTGAAGTATTTTTCACTTGCAATTTTTTTACAGAATACTTATTGGCTCTTCTTGTCAGTCAGAGGAAAAGCTTTCCAAACTAGTGCACACTCTCCAGTTAGATATTGGCCAGACATTTTGCATGATGGGAATGGTTTGTGAGCCATCATGAAGTTGCCTCTTAAAATACTGGCTAAATTATTTACCAATAGCTTCTGCATGATCTCATGGAAAATAGTTTTACTCCTATTTTGAAGGAGGTGCAAAAATGTAAAGCGAACTTTATCCATCTCCGTTTTACTTATCTTTTACTTATCTTCAGAGTTGTGCAGTGCTTTACCATGGAAATTTATCCTTTCAAATAAAAAAAAATTAGGGTGGAGTACAAAACTTGCTGCCCAGGATCAAGCTGTCAGGCCACCTTCTTGAACATCATGTGCCAGAAAGATTTTGATGTTTGATTCTTCAGAAAACATCCTCCTTCTCTATCTAACTGATACCTGCCTCACTGGGCCGTAGATGGGTGGCAAGCAGAATCCTCTCTGGACACCAACAATCAGCCTGGAATTATAGTTAGTTTTTTCAAGGTATCTTTTTGATGTAAAATAACTTTGGGTATATCCAACTCTTTGCCTAGAGCAGATCCTTGGTCTATTTTTGTCTGCTCTATGTTGAGGCTGAGCAGCTGTAAACAGCCAAAGAAATCTCTAGATGGCACAGCACCTTCACGTCCGTAAGCATTCCTGGGGCACAGGCAGAGAGACAGCCCTTTGAGCTGTGGGCAGGCACTCATTACCTGAAGCCACAGTGGGACACCTCTGAATTAGGGCAGGAGCCTGTCCTAGACCTGGCATGGCCCTACGAACAAAGAGATGCAGAGCACCTTAGCATCACTTCTACCTGCATGGTGCCAGACATCTGTCTGTCCAAGCTGATGATCCCTTCAGTGTGTTTGGCCATGATTTTTGTTTGTTTGTTTTGTTATCCAGTAGCAGCAAAATTCTTCCTAAATATCCCTCCTTTCAAATTTTGATGAAGGTTCCTGTGCTTTGAAATTAAAAAACAACATAAAAGGGGAGATCCTGCTAAATATGTGTCATCCTTATTTTAAATGTTTCCACCTCCTTCCCTAAATCTCCCCCATTCCTGGTGCCAGAATTTTTAGCTGTGACACATGAGACATTATCACATTTCCAACTGCACCAGTATGCCAAGAAAGGTGTCTGGGGAGTAGGAGTGTCCTAACTATCTTCCACAGGAACGGTTCACCACGTAACCTTATCTTGAACTGCCGCCCTGCCCTTTTGCTTGCTAACTAGCTTGCAGTCAACACCTGGGGTCTCTGTGCTTCTAGTGCCTTTAAATGAGCTCATATCCTCAACCTGAGAGCATTTCTCATTTCCTTCATGTAGTACAATTGCTTTTGCATCCCACGGCCCATCGGTTCCAAACTCTCCAAGCATCTCCTCGGCATCAGCAGATGGAAGGACAGCAATTTTCACAGAGACTCTTCGAAAAGCAGAACAGGGAAGTGGGGACCGAGAACACATGGAGTCTGTCGCATCTGGTTAGCACATGCTTCAAGGCAGCTAACTATAGTTCAAAGAGCTTGTAATGGCAGCCAATAACCCTTTCCAGCACTAGAGCCACAGCTCTGCCTGTTGCAGTACAAAATATGGATGCGCTAAGCAGCTCATCTCTCAGACAGGGGAAAATGTACAAATGGTGGATCTGGAAGAGGAAGAGGAGGGCAAAGAAGCACACTGGTAATCCCTGGTATGAGGAAAAGGAATAGGGAACCCTAGAAGAGGAGAGACTATAACTCTGCAGCTTTTATGCTTGGATTTTGAAAAAGGAGAACAAGGAGCAGAACTGTGAAAGGAGGCTGTCTAGAATACAGCAGGGGAAAGGACAGCGTGCAGGGAACTTGCAGACAGCAAAGCAGAAAGGCAAAGGCTCCTTGTGGTGCCAGGACCTTCTGCTACTCTACTGACAAAGTGTATGCCCCTAAGCTTATTACTTGTTCTGAGACTTCTTCCAATTCTGTCTTGTAATGATGTAGGCTCTTAAGACTATTTTGATGGGGAGGGGGGAGGTATTTTTCAGAACAAGCTTCCTTTAATGACGATAAACTTGTGTCCAAGTCCAGCAATGCAAGTGCGTGGTTGTGTGCCAGGACATCAGCTAGCTCTCGTTTCTCACGTACTCTTGTGCTATATGACAGACAGTGTCATCTGCTGAAACGGATTACTGCAAAATGTGTCTTGCAGTGAGGGATCTTGTGTTTACTTGCGGGGAGAAAGCAGTCTGTAGTTGGTAAGCTTGCCTTCATTGCAGGAGCAAACCCATTTTTCTGGTGGCTGCATCTGGGGATAGAAAGTAAATTTCTGGATGCCATTGCGGACTCCCACGTTTTCACCTTAGACCTTTGTTTCTCATACTCTAGCGGGGAGGCAAGAAAGTCTAGAAGCTTTCTTAGGTTTAGCCTGCTTAAAATAACAGTTTAAAAAAATAAGATTAAAAATAATTTTAAACACAATGTTTTAAAGACATTTCAAAAGTAGTTGAAGATTTTGGATAATTTTGTTTCTTAGGAGTTCAAGTCAAAACCTTACAAAGGGAACCAGCTTTTCAAGGAGGGATGCTCAGCCTTTTCAGGAAACCATGCCCTTTTAAATTGTCATCTCAGTTACACTTGGACTACGTTTGGTCCTTTGTAAGAGGATGTGGAACCATCAGAGTGAATGAAGTTGCAGTCACTTGTGCGCAATACAAATTTTACTTGACGAGCAGGGACATTACAACCACCATTTTGCCCTGCAAAATGAACTGGATGTTCTTGTTATCTTTTCTTCCCAAAACTCATGAACAGAGGTGGTCCTACACATTCCCCTCTAATGAATAATTCCCCCCTTATTAAACAAACTAAAGAATGTTATAGCTTTTTAATAGTAAGAAAATTTGTCTTCTGTACATGGAGGTTGTTGACTGACTTCCTGCCTTCATCTTAAATAGAGGGGCAAAAGGCAGGTGACAATTCTTCTTTCAACCCATGCTGTTGATTGCATCATGGAGGAGGAGACACTGATGCCAGGGTCAACCATTTCTTTGAAGTGGACTTTTTTAGCCCCATGTCCTAACTCTTTTGACACAGAAAGGTGAAAATTTAGCAGTTGTATCACTATGCATAGCATCAACTTTTTCAGTCAGTTATTGTGACACAAAAGAGAGATGTTTCTCATCTCTCAAGGAGTGTTTCAGACCCCTCCATGAACCCCTAACCCATCAGGAAGAAAGGATACAGTTTCCTCCTGGTCTGTTTTGTTGAATTCATGCATGGAAGGATCCACTAAGCTCCCAAAGCTGACGGAAAGGAGGTGGTGGGACATGTAGCCTGGATGAGGGAAGCTGGGGAGAGAGGAGCTGGGTCATAGCAAGAAGGAACAGGGGATGAGAGCAGTGGTAACCGAGATTGTTTGAGCTGCTTGTAGAACTGCAGCCTGGTGTTTTAGGACTTCACAGCCTTGCTGTAGTTTTCTCTGACTGTCCTAGAGCTTCCCTCTCTCCTCTGCATATAGCTTCCGCTTGTTTCTGTCCTCCTGCTTACCTCTGCCAAGGCAAAATCTACATGTACATATCAACACAGACTTTAGGATATTAGGAAAGATCCTGTGATAAGATAGGAAAGATCCTGCATTCACACACACCCCCCCCCCCCCTTGATGGCTGCACTTTTGAACCTTTCCCGTGAAAAAAAAGGAAAAATCCCTGCATCCCCCCCCCCCCCCCCCCCCTTGCTTAATGCAGTGGTTGATCCTATTACTAAGATTTTGCAAAAACAATGGAAGATTTTGGAGGCTTCTATTTGCATGGCCTAGATCTTTTCAAAGGAATTTGTAATTCTTGTAATTAGTGTTGCCTTCTTTCAGAAAAGTGAGCTGTTTCAGCTAAAATCATGTTTCCTTTTCATAGTTTTGGGTTAAAAGGCTAAACAGTGTGTTTTGTTGAGTTTTACTACCTAGTGCCTTTTTGATTACAGGTGACACTTAAGTGTGACACTTCCTATCTGCTGAGGATTAGTACAAGACTTATGCAAATCTTAAAGCATGGACATACTGTTTAAATGAAGTTAATTGGCATGTGGGTCTGTTGTTGTTTTGCAGCTTGAATGTAATCCTCAGCCTTGACTTTAAGCAATGTAGAAGTTATGTGAGACTAGAATAGTTCAGAGCTATGAGAAACAAAGATCTTTGAATACTAAATTTATTTCAATATGATTACACATCTAGCGATTTTGACCTGGAGTATATGTTGACAAACCACTGATTGAAAGCCTTTCTACACCTTTTTGCTCCTGTGTCATCTGGTTTATTGCATGAGAGTACACATATATCTCTGCTTATCTTTACAGAAAGTTTTGGCAGGGGTAGATGATCTGCAGCGTGTGAAGGCCCTAGAGATGCAAGTAGATACAAGAGAGAACAGCTTGGGAAACTTTGGTAAGAAAACACTTTATCTGGTGCTCACCATCTCAAATTCTCCTTTATTGTGTCTTGAAGCAGGACTGGGGACTTGGAAACCAACAGCCAATGTACAGTACTGTCCTGCTCAAGAGCTCTTGAAACGTGATCTCTCTGGTACCTCTCACTCCTTGATCTCCGTTTTCTTCTGTGAGGCTCTAAATAGGACTGAAAACTATGGCAATGGGATGAGTGACGCCACTTCTGTCTAAAGCCAATTAGTTTGAACAAATTGCTCTTAACTGACATGCCTCTAGGCCCTAAATGAGCATTTACTGATTACCTTGCCCTCTAGAGTACTTGGCGCTACTCTAGCGAAACAGTAGCCAAAGTTCAGTTTCTCTCCGCTGCAAGATTCCTCTGTGGCTGAGAAATCACTAGTGGTATCAGGCTGCTCATGCTGCCAGCAGCCTGTCTTTGCATCCAGTACTGCCTCACTGAGATGTGCTGGATGATGTGCTTGAGGAAGGTCCTATAGATGCGTCATTTTGATGAGCCCCAAACAGCCCTAATGCTTGTGACTCATTTCTGTGTCATCATCACTGCATTGGGGAAAGTAAGGAAGTACAAAAGGAATTCCCTCTATAACAGAGTTAACACTGAGAATATGAAACCTTCCTTTTTTCCAGTACTGGCAGTCATTTTCTGTCATGTGGATTCCCATCACAACCAAGTCCATCTTCTGCTACGTCAAAGCTGAATAACTACTGCAAATATTTTTTGTGCCAAAAGGAGTCACCTCCCCAAAAGTGGGTGCCGGTATTTTCAGCCAAGCAGTTCATTTTCATGTGCAAGTGACTATAATGTAACAGCCGATTAGCTTTAGTGGGTCTTTTGATGTCGGTTTGTCAAGAATGGTTAAGCAAGTACAGTGAAGGGGGCTTTTGTCTTGAATTATATAGCTACTTTGTATGGGTTATTCTGTTTATTTCATAAATAGGTCTCTTTGTGATAGGGACTTGATAATTTAAGGTACATTACATCCATTTCTTTCAGAGATCAGAATCTATTCAGTCATGTTTCCTCCAGTTGATAAGAAAATCTCATTACGCCATTTCTACAATGCTTGAAAGTGGTGCTCCCATTCCTATGCCATTTTACATTAGCTGTGACAAGCTAGCAAAATGTTCCAACTTTTTCACTCTGTACTTCCCTTTCCTTTCCATTACCAGAATAAATCCCTTTCTGCTCCCCGTGGTTAAGCTTTTGCAACTTTCACAGAATACGGAGCACTATTCCCATGTTGCAAACGATTTCCATCTTGTTTATGTCCCACCATTTGCACCAAGAGTTGGCCCTTGAGGGCTATAAAGAACAGCAGCTGCAGGTCCCCACTGCTTTTGAGAATAATAGAACATCAAGACCATCCTGAATTTCCTTCTGTCTTTTTTTTTAAAGTGCATTTCTGAATTTCCTCCCTGTGAAAATCTCTTTGCAAATGTCAGCAGGTGGCTAGGGCAGAAAGTTTGCCACTTAATGCTTCCAGTGATCATCAGTTCCTTGCAGTTCTTTTTCACATGACAGCTGATTTTTAGGCACATGGAGTAAGGCCTAAATTTTTAGGGGTATCAGAGGGCAGTTTGCACCTTCAATGTGAATGGTGTAAGCAAGGCTGCTATTGAAGGTGTCGGGCTCATTGCATGCTCCTCGCTGGCTGCCTGCCCCTGAAACTGTGCACTGCTGACCTGGTCTGTAGTCACAGGGGTCTGGATAAATAGCCTGAGGGAAGGAATAGGGCAAGAACCAGACCAGCTGCAATGACAGAAGTCCCAGTGCAACAGAAAGAAAAGCTTTTCCACCATTAGGACAGTCGAGCAATAGGGGTATCCAGAGAGGTTTGGAGTCTCCATCCTTGGAGGTTTTCAAGACCCAGTTGGGTGAAGCCCTGAGCACCCTGGTCTGATATCACAGAAGACCTGGCTCTGAGCAGAAGGCTGGGTTCGAGGCCTCCAGCTGTCCCCTCCAGCCTGGACCGCTCTGCAGTTTAGTGTTTCTGTTTGCATTCCAAACCTGGCTACTTTTAGCTTTCTTTATAGCCATATTAAATCACTTAACCTAGCTCTCACTGTATTCCTCAGTTGCAGAAGGTGAGTAAGAGCATCTTTATTATCAAGGCATTATTTGTTTGGATGATCAGTTTGCACTCAGTAAACAATATTGTTTTAACTGGTTTTATGTGTAAAGATAAAATAGGCTGTGCAAGCTCTTAAATGGCCAGGTAAAGGAGTTGCAGGTTACTAGACTGCACATAACTCTGGGTCACCTGGAACCTTGCAGCACTCAAATCCCAAATTTACACCACAATTTCCACATTTCGATGTTCGCAGCCATACACAGACTGTAACACAAGCACTGAGGGCTTACATCTCCTTTAGCAAGATTTCCAGAGTGATTTAAAACATGTTGCTTGAGTTTTTCTTATGAGCATTCCACATTGGGCTGTGCTAAACTTTAAAGTGCCACCCTGCTAACCTTTCCTGGTTTGTCAGGTCAGCCTCTACACAATGGCGTGACACGGTGGGGAGGAACAGCTACCTTTCTTAGGGACAGGGTGTGGGCTAAAACACAAAAAGACCAATATTAAAATGCTCTCATGTGATCAGTTTTAAAATTAAGGAAAGGCTTCATGCCAGAACTTGAATCTGAATCTTAGCGGGGCTTGGGGTAATTGTTGAAACCTCTAGCTGTTTTCAGTGCACCTTGCTGAGTGACAGGCGAAACACTGAACTGCCCTGGCAAGTCTTGTATCCAGCATTGCAGATCTTGGACTTGACTTCTGTGCTCTTCAGCTGCATGTAGGCTTCAGTTCATACTCAAACAGATGGACTATTTCCTTTTCAATTAGCTTATCCCTTCGCTTTTGATTGCTGACAGATCTTGGGACTGCATTCATGACCGGCTCGTAGAAATTCCTGTTGAAAGTAATGGTGGGATAGAGTCATTTAAGACACTACATAGTTCTCTTATTTTTAAGTGATTCTAATAGCTACAAATCAAGTTACCCACAGTGCTGTTCGCTGGTACTTATTGAATTGTTGCCTGCTGGTGGCCAGGCTAAGTTGATTACGTGTCTGGAGACTGCCGCTTCCTTTGCACACGTTTTATCAAGGAAAAGCTCTGCTAAAGGTTCAGAAGTAGGCATGTATTATTTTTCACGCAGGGTCATCGTCTCTCCTCTTGCTCTGTTGGTCAGTATTCCTGATGCGAAGCCAGGAGATGTTTGTCGGCAGCCAGCATTGCAGCGGCAGGTGCCTGCATGGTCAGGAAGCCAGTGCAGAGGCTGGAGGTGTGAGTCTGGTGTGTGCGTCCCTGCCCACACTGGTCTTGGTTTAGCTGGTACTGACAAGCCTCGCTGAGAAGGTGCCACAGCACCCGCTGCAGCAGGGCTTGGGCAGGCTCTCCAGGAGTCACAATACATACTGGGGCAGCGAGCTCATGTTAAACCCTGCACTGATGTGTTTTTTTGTGAGATTCTCATCTCAGGTAGCTAGACTCCAGCTGGCTTGGGTTTGCCTGCAAGTGCTGCGGTCTTATCTCCGGTTGCGTCGACCAAATCACCCCAGAAATGTGCAAAAAATTGCACATTTAGAACATGCATGGAAATAACATCAAGGTGATGTATCTTACTTGATCAAACAGCTTAAGTAAATTAAATAGCCTGTTTAATTTACATATCAGATTGCTCTTGCTAGAAGAGTGCAGCCTGTGTTCACATGCTTGTTTTGTACTGTAGGATCAACAAAACACATGGGTTCCCTGATGCCAACACAAGTATTTGTCAGTAATTTCTTTTGTGTATGTTTTTGAGTAGTCCATATTCCAGAAGGTGTAAGAAGTCAAACCACGATGATTTTTTGTTAAGAATAGAAAAACAAGATATATGATGCTACCTAAAGAATACATCGTAATGTAAACAACAAGTGTTGTAAATCTTGTAGCTTGTAGAATATAATAAAACCAGCATCTTGCCTGTTTTCTCCTTACTCCTAGTCAGTTATCTAAATGTCACCTGCTGTACCAAGGCAGCTCAGAAAAACGTCTGCATTGCTACCCTGCTTGTGAGGCGCAGCACTTAAGGCAATGTTGCTGAGCGTGCATGTATCACTTTTATTCACCTACCTTACACTTGATTTCTTTCTGCTCTTCATTTAGTTTTGTTCCACTGGGATAGTACAGTAGACTAGTTTAACACTAGTACATTGTTGGTGGTTAGTAATTTCAGAGCCATATAACAAAAAGGATATTTAGTGAAAGGGAATTGTAGACAGATGAGATAACGTTGCTCACCATTCTGAATTCTCAGCCTTGTACTGCGGTCATCAGCATTTTTCTGGATCATTCGCGTTTTTAAAAATCAAAATTACACAGTATGAAGGCAGTTTCAGGATGAGGAATATATTGTTTGTAGTTTTAAAATTAATATTAGAAGTTAATATTGTTGATATTTTGGAGTATTTTTATGTTAATATAAGAGTAAATTGCGTCCTTGCTCTCAGGAAAGATGCCATGAGGGTTAAAATTAAGAAAATCAGAAGTATGTGGTTCCGTTTGGATAGATCTCTTATTTTGTCATCTTCATTTCACAATTTTCTCTTCTTAACTTAATCTTCCAGTCTCTAATCTATATATAAGGAATTGGGACAATAAAAACCAGCAAAATCCAATGGACAATGAATTCTTAGCACCAAAGAACAATTACATATCAAATATAAAACTTAAAGGAGGGAAGAACCTGAAGAATTGGAGAAATATATTGCAGAAGTCTTGTTGGCAGAATTTTGCACCACTGTACATAGTATACTTTTATTTCAGTCTAGTAAACAGCACTTTAGAGCTTAACACTCTACAAGTTCCCAGGGATAGATTGTGCCAAAATACAATAAAATGTCTGAAATGGAGGATCGGGTTACAATAATGAAATAACCAGATGTGAAAATTGTATCATCAGCCTGTCACTCTGCCTCTTTGAATGCTTTAATAGTTGGTTTTTTCCTGAACCAACCCTAAATGCAGTCAGTGGAAAGCTTTTTCTTGAGCAAGTCTCTCCATTTCTCTTGAGCTAGTCTTCTTGACTCCTGATTCAAATGTTCTGCTTAATACTAGTTTTTAAAACCCATTTGCTTTGTAACGCTTTGCAATAGGCTTTGCTTGGTAACCCTTTAACCTGTCTGGTTGAGTCTGTGGCAGGGCTATTACCTGCTGCTGGGCTGGGACTGGAGAGACTACTATATCCTTCTTGTTTTTTCCTTTAACACTTCAGGGAAAGTAATTTTATCTCTCTGTCCTTTGGGTTTCTTATTGGAAACATGATAGCAATTTTTTTAATATAGATTTTGATTTTTTTATGTGGTGGGTTTCTTAGTGCATGGATTATATCTGAGGAAGTCTTTGCTTAGTAGCTAGTATGACTGCTGTGAATAATTAACAGAGATCCTAGTATCTCCTCTGTCAGGACTCCAAATTATTTTGTTGCCATACTTTATAAAACTTGTTTGATGTGAGAAAGTATGCCCTGCAGGACGAGGATGGTGTGTTATAATTTGTACTACAATTTTTGTGGATTATGGAAAATGATTAAAAAATAAGGCTAAAAAATTCACAGTGTGTTTCGAATTTTTGATATTTTCTAAAGAGCTTTGCAAAGACATGAGGTTAAATATTTGCAGTATAGCATGAAGATCAATATGTGGATTATCATCACTCCCAAATAGCATTAGATATAGATAATGCTTCTACTAAAAAATGATTTATTAAAATGTTTTTGCCATAAATGCTCTTGTTCTGTTTGGGGAAATGGAATGAACAGCATGACCTCCTTTGTTTGCTTTTGAGATCCCACTCTCCTTTTCTTTTTTTTTATTTAATTTCTTTTTTTTGTTTGTTTTTTCTCTTGATCCTTTGCAAAGAACTGGAATGATGTGCTTCTGGACACTGCTAAATCACCCTTGCCAGAGAGAGATTACTCAGAGGACTCATAAAAATATTTGCTGAGAACAGATTTTAATGTTTCAGCAATGATCCAGTTTGTCTAAAATTGGTATTACCTTTACATGATTGCATGTTATACTGGAGGATGCTCGCCAGCCATGGGTAAACTCTGCTAGTGGGAATGGGTAAAAGTTTGCTGTTGTCAATAGCAAATGTTTACTGGGACTTGAGCTTATATCCAAATTATTCTGTAGCTTGGAGGGATTTGGTCTATGGTTTTGGTTCAGAGATACCTGTAGAAGCAACCAAAATAGCAAACGTCTCTTGGGAACAGAAAACAGCATTAATCAAAGTAATAACAACAGAATACTGAGGTTTTCATAGATATGAAACTTGTACAATTGAATAGTAAACAATGGATCACATCCAGAAAATTAAAAGGAGAAGGCAATACTTAGCAAAACATAAGTAGCATTTTGGGGACCTCTGAACTATAAAAGATGATGTTGTGACATGGGAAATTATGCTTTTGTTGTCTGACTCAAAATTACTTTTTGAAGAAATGTTACTTAGCTGTGTATCCAATAAGTCCATCGCTACTTGCCATTAAATAGGTAGAAAAAGATTTTTGGAGAGAGGAGCAAGAGCATTATGTAGAAATCAGAGGTCATGGAATGCAAGACTCTAAAGCATCCCTTACCTCTTCAGAGTATCACTCAGTTAATAGTCAATAAGGGTTGGGAATCAGACCAAAGAAAACAGTCACCCATCAAGCCAGTTTCTGTTGTTGTCTGTCTGGAAAGGTGCTCTATCAGAATTGTCAGAGAGGGGTCCCAAAAATTATGATTGGGTAGTCATGCAGACAATACATGTATGTTGCAAAAATGCAAAGGGTGAAATATTTTTTGAGTGAAATAATCTCATTAATTTTCTTAGAAGAGGCCCAGCACAGATCTGGCAGAAACAGGTAAGGAATACATGTAAAATTAGATGCTTCAACTTGTAATTGTCAGAAGTTTCCTTTACCCTACTCCCAGGTCTGCAAAGTGATTCTTTATTCTGTTCCCATAGGTGCCTATCTACCTAATCTGAGAGAACTGAAGTTGAACAATAGTTTACTTGTGTCTGTGAGGTAAGAAATGAATGATCACTGAAATAAACATAAAGAATAACAGCCCTCAATTGTATTTAAGTGATAAAATCTTCATTTGTACTGCTTTCATTTCTTCCATTTCCCCATGCCGTGATAATAGATTAGGTCATGAATATATGCTCTGCAACCGCATAAGTTTAAGGACAGGACCTGAGCTGGAATAAATCAGTGTAGCTGCAGTGATGCCAATGAATTAGCCACAGTCTGCCACCAGGGAAGTTCCTGCCATGCTGAAATCCATGGAAATTTGTTGCAAATTTGAAAGGAGCTAGAAATTCGCCTCTTATCTATGTCTAGGCACTGGGATTTCAGAGTGTTTCATCCTTTGGGCTTTTGTTGTGCACAGTAGCCTGTTCTATACAGGTCAGACCAGTTCCTCAGCTGATGAAAGTCACTTTGGCTTTATTGAAGTCAATGAAGTTGGGTTTATGAGAGCTGCTATGAAGACTGCATGTCCCTGGCTTGCTGAGCTCCGTGAAAGCATGACATGTTTTCTCCTAGAGAACTGGAGAGTTGGCAGGTTGGGAAGGTAGAAGTGAAAATCATCGCAATGAGGAGGCAGAGCTGTCTTCTCTCTCCTGTGCTGATATCTGTATTACCCTTGGTAACTGATGATGCATAATGGAAAAGTACAGTTCATATCAGTAAAGGGCTGTGTAAAGGCCATCTTTATGTTAAACAGGACTCCTCTCTGGCTTTGTATGGCTACGCTAAATTTGTGGGGAAAAAATAGTGATTTTGCTAATTCTTGTTAAAGAGAACATGTTCCCTGATGGGAAACGGCAATAAATTCTTTTCGGTCTCATGCATCATCACTAAAGTTAATGAACTTCAGTTGTCACACTTTGATCTTATTTTCCCTTGTTCTGGTGATGAGATGAAGGATTTGTAGTCTAAATTTTTTTTTCCACCTTCTAGTCCGTAACATGGAAAAGTGGTGATTCTACATTGCTGCAATTATTTTAATGGCAACCAACCACTGTCATAAGCATGAAATTGCTCCATTACTGCAATGGAGCAGTAAGTAGTGGGTGAAAAAAATTATATTTTTGACAATATCAAAAGACATTTTATTACAAAAAAATGTCAAATAGTTTTTTTTGTTTGGTCAAAAATCCATCTTCTCTTAAAATGTGTCACTGGAAAATGTTTTGACCAGTTCTGTTGGTATTGAATACAAGATGCAGTTCAGGAAAACTAAACTGTTTAGTTTATTTGACTTGCAGCTTTAGCAGGATCTTGCACATCCCTTTGTACTCTGAGACACTGACTTCTGTCATGAAAGGTATTGGCAAACCATTTTCTGTGACCTGACATCCTTGTGGTCTTTGATGCAGGTAGCGTTTGGTCTCAAGTGGAGTTTTGATTTGATCAACTATAACGTAAACATGTTTTGGCTTGGATATCAAGTCTAATATTGTGATGCTTCCCAGGCACACAAAGCCCAGGAGAAGCTACCCACTCCTCCTTTAAATAAGCATGCTTTCTGTGTGCCAGTTAAATGCAATTGTGAGGGAACAGGTAAAGGAAGAAGATGACTCTGTTAGCTCTCCCAGACCAGAACTCGTTCAATATAGTACAGCAGTAGCTTTCCTTTGTTAATTCCCATCTTTGACAATCTGTCATTGATAAACCCGGATCACTTAAGGGCACAGCCGATGCAAGCACAGCCTGGGTACGTGAACTTTATTTTTGGATGTCTGCTTCATGTCAGTTTAATGCCCATTAAAGCAACATTGCTGTCACAGCAGTAGCGATGTCTGCTATAGCTAATGTAACATAGCTGCTTCCATTCTAGCAGGCTGTTGCCATTTACTCAAAAATGTTTAGCAATCTTATTTCTGAATTAAACTTGTTGATGTTGGAATTCTGTCCAAAAAGTGATTGGTTTTTTGACCAAACCCTTGCAACTGAGGTTTTTGAGGATGATAGAAAAAATGTTCTTCATTCTCACTAAATGTAATTCCCACAGACTTTCTCAGCCATAAGGTCAGAATCATTGTGGTTGTAATTTGAAAATGGGCAGCAGATAACAGGAAATGTCTCGTAAGGACAGATTGGAAGATTGGTTTGTTTACTGAAAAGAAGGTAAGGACAGAAAAGCAGGCAAAAGATAGAGGGTGTTTCATATATACTTGGGAAGTTAAAAGCAGACATTATTTTCATGCTGTATTATGTGAAAAAATGTATTATGGTGAATCATTATGAACAAGACACTGTCAGTGTGTATGCATGAGTGGGTAATAAGATGGGAAACTTGCTTTTTGTCACTTTATTTTTGTTTCATTCTGTCTTGTAGAGTAGAATTTCCTAATTATTTTAGGATGAAATGGAGTTAAAACATCTTTTTTCAGTTTGAAAATGGGGGAAGAATTCTCTTGATAGTAAACTGCACAGGGAGATGTCAAAATAAGGATTTATGATCCTGACTTTAGTTACTGATTTTTTTTGAAACGTTTACTCTTGTCAAACTCACATAGGAACTTAAGTTGTGAGGATGCTGAGGTGTGTGTTGCCATTCAATAGAACTCAAAGGAGGGATGTTCTGGCAGTGAGGAATCAAGGTACTTGTGTATTACGGTTTTCTATAGGAGAGCAAAGCTTGCTAGGTCTGTGAGTTTGGATATTGGCTTTTCCTGGTAGTTCCTGAAGGAGTTCTGATTCCTTTGATGGGAAATGTGGTTGAGCTACTTTAGTTGTAAATTCATGGTCCTTCCCCAACCCTCCTAAAGCTTGCGTTACTTTTGAATACTTGAAACTTTAAAAGGCTATATATAAGTGCAGGATATCATTATCAACTATTTAATTTAATCCATAATGAAAATATATTCAAGTTTATTTGCAGATAATCCATCTTGGCGGTTGAAAGGGAATTTCTTTTTTGGCTGTTTCTGGGTTTTAGTTTTCTACTGGCCCTTTGCTAAAGGGGAACAGCTCTGGAAAATACAGCGTACTGTGGAAAGAAATTAGTTCAGATTGTTGTTAATTTTCTAAATCGCACTAATTTTATGAGGTCCTTGTTTGGTGACCTTCACCCATCTGCTAGCAGCTAAGAAATTCTATATTTATGAACTGATAATTGAGGATGAAATGTGGAGCCTATTCTGAAGAATGCCTGTTAAATACTGCCTTTTTTTTTTTTTTTTTTTGTGATGATACACGGTCCTCATCTTTGTAATGTTTCCAGTAAAAGAACTATATTTCAGGGCCAATGAATTACTACTTCTGCTTTGGCATGTAGCCTATGTATTTTTTATCAGATTGCTTTTATTCTCAATTCAGGGATGAATGAAAAGATCTGTTTAAAAATGTTAGATAGATATCTTTATGAAAGGGCTTTTAAATCAGATAGGGGAATCTCAGGAACTGGTTCCCATAAGTTTATAGCAGAAGCTGTTGCACCAGCTGAAGTTAATTTCCTCCCATTCAGCTCTACGCTTTGTAGCCAGCAGAAGACTGGTCTGCTCCCAGGGCTACTTAAGCAACTGCTTGTAACAGAGAGATGTTATTATATTTTAAGAGAGATGAAGTGCAGAGACTGCAGAATGTGGATACAAAAGTAAGTATGAGGGATATAGGGACAGGAAAGCAGATTTTATTCATCCAGGTAGAGTTAACAATTCTTTGCTGCAGTCTGCATTGCATGCAGTTCTCAAATTGCTCTTGCACTATTGCAGAAGAGTCTCCCAGAACAAGAGGATAGCAATCCTTGTCCATTTGGGTCAGTAAAGTCGTCATGGGAGAGTGGAAATGAGACAGCTGTCCTGAAGGTTCAAATGAGCAAGGTGCATAGTACATTTAAATTCAATAATTCTCATGCTTCTATGAGTCTTAGGATGGATTTTTTTTTTTTTATTTTTTTTTTTTAACACCAGCTCCTGGGAACAAGAATGGCTACACAGGAATCTCTGTATTCACTTTTTGAAAAGTTTCAAGTCCTCTTGACTGTAAAAAAATAACTGAAAACGTGAGCCAAGTGATTTGAGTAAGGATTTTTCTGATCATTCCATGACTTTAAGAAACCAGAGCCAAATTAATTTTTTCTTAATTGAGGGCAAGGGCTTTAAACCAATGTTTAAAAATATTTTTGAGACCTGAATCAGGATATTTAGGAATTTGAACTTAGCAATATTACTCCTTGGTACTTATCCAACAAAGAGTTTAAGCAAATGCTCACCTCTTAAAGTCGCAAGAAGTTTGACTTCATTGGAACTGCTCACAAGCTGAAAATTGAACATTAGTCCAAGTGATTTGCTGGATCTGGACCAAGTTACGCTATCTTGTATAAGACTCAGCTGTGACACTGATCAGCCCAAAATTTGATGTGTTGCTGATAGCGTCTGTCTAGGCACCCGCTATTTGCTGGATCATTTTGTCTCAAACAGAAGATTTAGGAGCATCATTCCCCTAAATTTGTTTTTTCCTTGTCATTTTTACTTTTACCCTTTTTTTTCTCCAGTTTTCTTTTTCTTCTGCCTGTCATTTCTAATTTTTTGCAATTACTGGATTACTACGTATGATGCATGTAACATAGGTACTACACATAAATGCAACGAGTTTTGTGCAACAAGGATCAACATTGCTTTTATGATTGATAAAATCCCAAAATATTTTCTAAAATCAATTCAGTTACATAGTTTGCATTAAAGATGCAAATGTTTGTCAACAGATGATTTATTTGTATTATAGTAGGTGCTGACTGTTTAATGAGGGATCAGGGTGCTTTTGCTCTAGGTTGTATTTACACATGCAGTCAGAGAACCACTGCTCTGATTTGGTTGTGGTGAATCTCTTCATGTCCATATTTCAGTGCCCAGAGCATCGCTGTTTGCTTTGACATTTGCTTTTCTGGATGGGGAAAGCATTTAATTCCAAATGCAAGCTAGTTTCTTTAGTGTTTCTCTTGTTTGTTTTGTGTAGCCAGCCTGAAAGTCCTTCAGCAGTTAAGGTTGCTATGAAGTCTATCTTAAGAACATGTT